TTAAGCCCTCCAATAACACTTCTATCTCGTGAGCATCAAAGACGATATCTTCCATGGGTGATACATCCGCCAGAGCGAGGTCGTCTGCAGTGTTCTTTTCTTTTTGTTTCTTTTTTATAACAGGCAGGGAAAACACATAACTAAAGAAAGTGTTCAGAAATTCAGCTTTGTCACCAGCATCAGTGACCATATCGTCACATCTCACGAGAGCAGGAATAGATACGTTATCTTTTTTATTCCTCTTTATGTATTTCCAAAGTTCTTTAGGATTGTCTTTAACTTCAGTTTGGAATGACTCGAAGAAAATTGATTATGCTTGTTCTATTTTTCTTTTTAGATTACTGGTTACCGTTTTTCGTTTGATGATATTTTCAAGCGACGGATTGTTCTTATAGGCCCGATAAATGCTTTGTTTTCTATGGGTCAAGTTCCGTAGTTTTTTGGTAAACCAAGGTTTGCTATCATTACGCCTCTTAGTTAAAATCTAAGAAGGAACAAAGCGGTCTCGCAATTCCAAAGCTTTCGTCTTAAATAGCGCCCATAATTCAGCTATAAAACACGATTCAGCAAGCGTTTAAAAAAAACAAAAACAATATCAGCATCTAGTTCAGCATTTATCGCGGTAATGTTAGATTTACTGTAATTAAATATGCGTCGACTGCTTTCATTATATATTTTTACGTGATCTAATTTCATTTCACAATGAACAGCGTTCTGATCGCTGATTCCCGGAATGACTAAAGTAGTTTGCACCAAATCCGGTTCGTTTGAGAAGAAAAGGTCTAGTATGTAGTCCCCTCGAGCGGGCTCTAGCACTGTTTGAGTGAACGAAAACAGGTTGATAAAATTGTACATTATTGCAGTGAGCCCCCGAGTTACTCCAGAGTGTGTGCTTGGTTGGTGCCAGTTAAGATCGGGCAAATTAAAATCGCCACCTATAACAATGCCATCAAATTTAATCGTTTCAACCGCAGCTGTAAACTCGACTAGTAGCCTAGTACATCGACTGAATTCGCTGGCGGCCGGTAAAAAGAACAAACTGCCAAAGTTTTACCATTTCGAAGTCTTAACTAACTAGGATCAAGCTTCGCTTGATCCTAGTTCAACCTCAATCTTACTCGAAGAAATCCTCCGATCCACTAAAATAAAGCTAGCAACCGAAGGGTCGAGGGTTAGAATTCCGCTTCATATTCTTCCAATTATTCTTCGAGACATATGAATTACTTTATAAAGTCAAATCATTTGAGACACGCGACAACCTTTAATTCGCATTACACGTCATGTATTTTTTTCAACACTTTCATTTCACGCGTGACGTCACGTTTGACGTGAGCGTTGTGGGTTGTTTGAAATTCCCGCGCGAGGTGATGTAGCTATGAGGACATTGTCCTATCGACCAATCAGGAGTTTCCCGTCAGAACGCCACCGACGCCGGCTTTTCAGCCACACAAGCTCTTTAACGCTGTCAAATTTAAAACACAATAAGAGGAAAATTTGAAAAAAAAATCGATGTTAGTTAAATTGCATTTTGGAGAGATTGCCTTTCTAAGCATTTTCAATTGTCATACTTTTCTATCAAAGTTATATTTCGGGCTGAAAAACACTTTTTTCGAAAGCAAGTAACGGATGCCCACGCCCCCTTTTGGGATACGCTCCTTGTTTATTGATAAATTTTCCAACAAAAAATATTAACACCAGATTTAAAAGCATGTTCTGAATGAGCTACATACACCTTAAACATTATCTAGCAACTATTGCAAAGTTTTTTTGTTTTTTTTTTAACCAAGATAATTTTAAGAGGTTATGCACGTTTTTCCACGTGTGTGCTTTGAAGACATGGCGACATTAAATGCTGTTTTTTCATTCAACGCTGGTAGCATGGAACGAGCCACTATTTTGAAGTCCTGTGGATTGCAACCTGGGTGAAACAGCATTAGGTGGCTGAGGGAAGTTGACGTCATTTAAATACACTTTGCCGGCAGGGCAACACGACAGGTCACAAAAGAGGCCCGGCAAGCAAGGCGAAAAGAGCAAGGCGAAAAGCCAAGAAGCGGAGACATGACTAATAGCGCCTACCAAGCTGGCGGCTATTGAAGAAATGACTGTAGGGGTGTTGATGCCAATACCAATTTGTTATTCACCCGTATTTTAACTTTAAACTCAAATAACTCGAAACAGTGTTTTTAGTCCATGGGTTCCCTTATTTCCTTAACCTGCCGATATATAGAGCGCTGATATTTTTCTTTCCTGCCACCTACGTAGGTGTTGAAAAGTAATAAGCAGAACTTAAAATATGCACCTAACCGTTTTTTTGTGTTAATACGCCAAGAGAGCTAAAACGTTATTACTAAAAATATTTTTTTTATAAAAAAGTTAATTTACAATTGTATTTAATATCTCTAGTTCAGTACAAAAACACAGTTTTGAATCAAATGAAATATTATGTGTGTGCGCGTGCGTGCGTGCGTGTGCGTGTATGTGCGTGCGTGTTTGTGTGCGCGTGCGTGTGTGTGTGTGTGTGCAAGGGAGGGAGAGACAGAAATATTCCTATTAATTACAGGGCGAAATGTTCCTCAACATGGCTTAAAATGCATGGGATGTACAGGCCCTTACCCTGTGCCCTTAAAAGGGTTCCTGCCCGGTAATATTTTCAGTGTTTGGAGGCGTGGCCAATACGACGGCTAGTGTATCAACGCTGTGTCGGTGTGCATAGACGCGGTATCGGGCAGTTCGGTCGAAATCGTTTTTGTTGTGTTCGCAAACGGATTGAACATTACCGCTAGGACGGAAAATCGTTTTCTGCGATTTGAGATGTACAGAGAGTTTCGGATAATTGCCAACAACGGTTTTAATGAGCGCCAAAGATAGCTGAAGCGGTGTTACTTTGAAGCGTATATACAGCTGAATGAATGGCTCTAGCTCCGCCCGTACAATTACCTGTCATTTGTACGATACTTTATATTAGATAACCAAGAAATTGGCCGGAGCTGTATACGATCGGATGGGGTACACTTGAAGACCCTCGGTGCTTCTTTTTACAAGTAATTAACGACAACTAAACTAACGACGAAGCACATTCCGTAGAACAGAATGACATCATTCAGTTCACTCTTCTGCTTTGCGCCGCCCATTCGCTTCCTACAATCTGTACCGTGACGCAGTCGGCGCTTTAAAGAATGTCGCTACTTGTAGGAAACTCATATCTACAAAATTTAGGTCAACTGAGCTGCGCCAAAAGTGCACTGTCGCGGCGCCTTGGTCGTCTTTGCGCGTCTTCTTTCCCCGATTGAAGCAGTCGGGCAGGCTGAGATGCCCCGTGACCTTGCGCATTCTTCTGCGCGTCATTGGATTGAGTCGGGGAGAGAGTAGACGGGCCAGAGACATTACGAAGAGGAAAACGGCGCCAAAGTACGGAAGACAAAGAACGAGAAACACACAGACCGAGCGCTGACTGACAACTGGTTCTCTCTTCGTAACTATGCATAACCAACTCGCCCAATTTTCTTCGGTGCCCAGAAACGACGACGAGCGCCTGGACAATGCAACTTTGGAGCTGCTTAATCGACTCCGTTCGAGTGTTAGCAACGGGTGTGGTCGAACACAAAGATGAGCCGAGCATAGCCTTGAAAGAATATACAGGAGGCCAGCTATAGTCGGTGACCAGTTAGGAGTGAAGGGGTAGCTCCTTTCATCTCTGTCCACTTTAGCAGAGCTAACGCCGGAGAGGAGAGTCACCTCCTGGGCCCCCAAACTCGTCAAGCAGAAAGTTGGGGCCAAAGTTGACGGAGCGCACCGATTGGTCTATCACGACGATGACTTCGCGCTTTTTTCGCCAACGTCCAATCAGCGCGCTCTGCGAACTTTCGGCTCCAACTTTGTGTTGGACGAGGTTAGGGCCCCTGACCTGCGTACGCTCAGCTGAAGTGGAAAGAGGCGGGAGGAGGAGCTCTTACTTCACTCTCAACCCGTCGCGTACTATAACCGGCCATTTATAGAAACAACCAGATGCTATACTTTGTTTCGCTTCAACTCCAGATGTTACGGACACTACGAGTTGATGGAACCGATCGAACGGCGTGCGAAAGCGCTAGTCACTAGGTGTTCCCTGTACACGATTGGTTCAGCGATGATAGAACACGTACAGGCACTTGACGAACACCGTGACGTTGCACTTTTGAAGCTGTTTGATTGGTCCCCTAAGTTTGTAGCGTCGGCTGCGTCTTGACTTAAGGCGAAACGAAGTATATAGCAGTCAAAAACACACACAAAATCATTTCAGATCTAAATAATTTCTTGCATATTATTTGGCATCTAAATAATTTCTCGAATGAAATGATTGCAATGTTTACAATATCAGCTGCTGTATTAGTAACCAAACTATTACAATTACTCGGTCCTGCGACTGAAGCTATGTGATAACCAATACTACAACGCAATACTTTTTTTTTCTTTTTTTTAAATGAAGCTTGTGGCATAGTTTACGAATATAAATCTATGAAGTAATATTAACGCAACAAGATTCCATGGGCGCCTTGGCCACATACGGGCATTTTATTCCTCGTCAAAGAAATGGCGTTCGAAACTTAGGTTCAGCTCATTAAACGAACTGACAAAACGAGAGAACGAGCCTTACCAGTATTTCGCGACGATCAAACGCCCCTTCCGTCGGCCCGAAAATTAAGCAAACCTATCACGTCAAACCGTAAGTAGCGTACGTTCTCATGACGCTGGGAAAATGCTTTGCCTGGAAGATAGCCAGCGGATTCTACTTGAACTGCACAAAAAAGGAGTTGTTTGGACTACAGATAACGTCGTTGCCTTCCTCATCTAATGACGGGAAATGAGGGCGTAACCATACTTTCGGTGTTAGTTTTCCTTCTCACAAAGTACATAAAAGCTGCACACGAACCCATCTTTAAGTTTTTGGCGTTGTTCCACGGTGTCGGTGGCTTCAGAACGCGTCGCATTGCTCGAGAGAGTCGGCCACTTCTAACCGCGAGATGAATTCCTTCACCGCCAACGCCACCGATGTCTTTCTCCGACGCGACCCACGGACCATCGACTGGTTCATCGCCGGTAACCTCTGGTTCCTGGTCATGCTGCTCTCCAGTTACGTGTACGTCGTCAAGATTGGAGGACCCCGCTTCATGAAGGACCGCAAGCCGTACGAGAACCTCAAGCCCGTCATCCTTATCTACAACTTCTCCATGGTATTCCTGAACGCGTACTTCGTAAAGAACTACATGAGACTGTCTTACTTTGGCGGGGGCTACGACATCGTCTGCCAGGGCATCGACTACGACACCAACGACAGGGTCTCCAAGGAGTATCTGGAACTTTGTTGGTGGTATTTCTGGGTGAGAATCGCTGACTTCCTGGACACCATCTTCTTCGTGCTCCGCAAGAAGGATTCCCACGTGTCCTTCCTCCACGTTGTCCATCACGTCCTGGTGGTCTTCAACGGATGGTATGGTCTGACCTTCGGTCCGGATGGACAAGTGGCCCTAGGTACCATACTCAACAGCTTCGTCCACGTCGTCATGTACGCTTACTACTTCCTGTCGCTCCTGGGTCCCGCCGTCCGCCCGTACCTCTGGTGGAAGCGCTACTTGACGCAGTTTCAGCTTGTGCAGTTTGTCATCATGATCGTTCACATAATGATTCCCCTCTTCGTGAACTGCGGCTACCCAAAGATTCATTCGGTCATCGTCCTCGGTCAAGCTGCCTTCTTCTTCGCCATGTTCATGCGATTCTACGCGAAAGCCTACAATGTCAAGAGGACCTCCCCTGAAGTGAATGGCTCGAAAAACAAAGTTCAGTGAGCTTGCAACGGATCCGCCTTTATCAACGACAAGGGTAATCCGTCAATGTTCCTGCAATGTGTCGCAACTCGGCGGTTTTCTGCCGCTCAGTCAAGAGCACGGAACAGCTCTGGTTTGAGCCAGGTGCCTAACAACATTTATTGCCTCGAGCTCCCAAGGTGTAGACCCCGCACTTCCGGCGTCATAACAAAAGTAATTATCAGACAAGTGACATTTGGATTAGCATCGACAAGTATGATTGACGTGTTCCACTGGAATGATGACGCTGCAACCCAAAGAATAATCTGAAGTATCTGGCGGGGCTTCCAGATATTCACGGTGGTAAACCAATGGCAAACAAGTTTGGGTATAGTGCAGAAAAAATAGTCATATTTAAGTGATGCCCAGTGTGAGTTGATTTTATTGTGGCCTTTTGAGGACAACAGTGTTTGGTTTTTAATATGGGCATGCGTCAGAGTAATCGGGCATCCCCAGATCTAAACGGTGGTGCACTAATTTTCGGACTTGGTGCCAATACTTGTAGGAGTTGGTTTCTGCCACTTCCAGAACGAACAAAAAACATGTTGGCTTGCGTGCGCCAGTTTTTATTCACTTTTATTCACATAAAAAGAAATAAAACAGTGATGTTTGTGCCTTTTTTTACTTTTTACATCGTCTTCTGAGTCACGTGCGAAGTGACGTTCTCAAGTGGGAGAAAGAGCTTCCGGTTCTGTTCTCTTTACAGCGAAGCCAGCAAGCCCTGTACTGTAACGATAACAGAAGTTTAGCGACGGTAAAAAGGCCTGCGAGAACTTCTGTTTAAACTGAGCAGATAATTGCACAACTTGATAAGTCACTGCAATATAGTTCTCTTTGAGGACGTCGCGCTGTAATTTAAGAATTGTTCGTTGTTTTCTTGTTTTTTGGCTTTGCAGGTTTGACATTACACAGTGGAGTTAGTGTTCCGGCATAAAGCGACTTGTTTTATTTAATGTGCTATAAATATTTTAAAAAAAATACAAGTAAACGCTGCAGAAATTTGCGACGCTCATATCGTTGCAAGCCCCCTTTAAATCACTATACAAATTTTGTTATACTCCAGAATAGCTTAAAGGGAAGATGGGGCACTTCTACATTTGAGAAAAAACGCTTGAATCGCGTTCATTTTGCCTTTAGAATAACAGATATCAAAATTATATTTGAATGCGACGCGCCGGAGAGCCACAAGAGCAATTTCAAAATAGGGCTGAAGCCCCGCCCCCTTAGCCTTGGGCAGCCAAAAGAGCCTTCGATGACGTCACGGACAGCGACTGTCTTTCGCGTTTTTCTCGCATTTAACAATACTTACGCAGTAAATGGTTTGGGTATTCGGGTTCACGGGGTAAAAATACACTAGAATTCACTTCTAACTCATTTTTTCCAAGAAGCTCCGTAGCTTCCCTTTAAATGCACACACTGATACCCCCCCCCCCCCCCCAATGCAATTTTTAATTTGCCGAACGATTGGACACAATACCTAACATCCATTACAAAAGTTGAAGGCCAGAAACAACGTATTTGAAGAGAAAAAAAAATTCTTGCAAAGCCTGTAAATGCGAGTGCCTTGCGCACCCGCATTACAGGCAGCGGTACGATGAGAACTTGACCGAAAGCCTGTGCAGTGCATGTGGTGAGGTGGAGGAAACTATCCAACATTTGCTCCTTGAGTGCCCGGCGATCGTACCTGCGACAGACGTCGGCACCCGCATTGATCAGGCCCTCGGTTTTACGGAGGAGAACAAACATGTATTGTGCTCTAAGTGGAGGCTCAAGGCATGGTGGAAATTCCGCTCGTGATACTTGAGAGTGACTACGAACCATTTCTCTGGCTTTCTCCTTTTATTTGCATCATCTTTGTCTTTTTTTCTTCTTTCCTTTACTGGCATGCCTATTTCATAGACGCTTGTTAAAAAGAGCCCCCCCCCCCCCCCCCCCCAACTGCCTTCAGAAATACATACATACATACATAAAGCCGACTTTGAAGTTTCTCGCCTCGAATTCAGCCAGAGTGGGTGCGCATTTTCGGCACCGATTTGATGTTCAGGGGGCGTGGCCATTGACGTCACAGACGTCGAATTAGCGGCACTTATTATTTCAACGTCTAGGACGTCAAAATTATATTTACTGTTATTTTGACGTAAACACGATTTATTTTGGATGCCGCCGACTGCATTTTTAATTGTCGGTCGCTCGGCGTGTCTGTGGCCGGATGCTCGGCGGCTCGGCGGTGTCCGCGCTGATGTCTGTTGTCAACGTGCTGCCCTCGTTGCGTTCTCAGGAACAGCTACCCTAGAAGGGTGTGTACTTGGGCTAGTTGGTTATTCATGAATAGGAGGTAAAAGCGCTAAAAAACGACGGACAAGTTGAAGAATGACGAACACCACAGAGCGCTCTGTGGTGTTCGTCATTCTTCAACTTGTCCGTCGTTTTTTAGCGCTTTTACCTCCTATTAACAGCTACCCTCGACACTAGTAGGCACCCTATTTCCGTCAACTCCAATACTATACTTCTCAACAAGGGCGCAGCCATCTTGAATGCCGACACTTCTGGTATGCAGTAAAACATCGTTTTCATTTCACCACACCGTTTGAAGGTGTTTACGAAAAAGGCGTGATTGTCACACATTCTCATTTTGCCTGCACCTACATGTTCTCGCTAATTCCGGGAGGAAGTGTTTTTGTTATTTTTTCGGCCCACATACCAGATGCGGAACCCACGTGCCTGAGAACAACAGGAAGCAGAAAAGTTTACACTCCGTTTCACGATAACTCGATGAACTGTGGAGGCTGCGGACCCCGCGACCCAATTAGGGCACCGGAGCAAGGCACGTGACGGCACTCCATGTCAGACGCCACAGGGCTCTCGTTACTGCCACAGCAACAAAACCCTCCGCGACAAAATGTAGTTCTAGGCTTCTTGTTCTTTTAACGGCAATTGAACTCGTGCGATTCCATCTATAACGAGAAGATATGAAGAATAAAAAAAAAATCACAAATTTATGAGTTTCAATTATATATATTTAAACGAAACAAGTTAAGCCACATCCGCATCCGCTCGATCTTTTTTTTTTTTTTTTTTCGCCTTGTAGCGATGTGGCCGTTGGCGACCGCCGGCGATCGGAGCCGCGTGTAACCCACTGTTTCCGCTCAAAACATCGCACTGTACCTTGCCATTATCACCCGTCACAGATTCACGGCTGCATTGGCGTATGGTTGTCTCATGAGCTGTTCCCAAAGTGCTCGCTATTCTAGCGGACGGAAATGTTGCTGCGGTGGACATTCATCCGAAGGCGGTTGGTTTCGGAGCAGACGACTCTTGGCTAGCAGACGACAGCCGGTTCCTCCGGGCCTCGCGCAGACTTGTACACGTTACTGAAAAAAAGTAACTGATTACAATTACAATTACTACAGTCAAAAAAGTAACCGATTACCGTTACTGATTACTGCCTCCCAGAAGTAATTGAACAATTACTGCAAAGTAATTGATTACTTTTCAAGTTACTTTCACGTTACTTCTTATTGCGATGATAGAAATACACAAATACACAGTAAAATATTGCGTACACAATTTTGTTTGGTTATTGTTCCCTTTTTTGTTTTCAGACCCGGACCTTGTCGTGTAGCTGACGCGTTGACCTAAGAAACAAAGCCCACTAAAAAGTCAATAGCGAGTTCCCGCTTCCCGTCGACTTTATCAGCAATCTGTAACGAGATCCGGAACTCCCCAGCCAAGGCTGGTGGCGCGCTTGTAGAAGAGCGTGGCGCAAAAGAAAAAAGGATTTGCCGACTAATCCTAGTTTTATTTTTTTTAGATCTTAAAAAAATGTCAATCATTTTTGCTCCATGGCTGAGTGACTATGTTGATTTTTGTGAGAAAAAAAAATTGTGGAATGAAAAATGTAATTGGTAATTGTGTAATTGATTTTGTAATTGATTACAGAAAAAAGTAATTGAATTACTCCGAGCGTTACAGCTTGACAAATGTAATTGAAGCGTTACAAAATTGCACTTAACTGTAATTGATTACAAGTAATCAATTACTTGTAACGCGTTACGTACAAGTCTGGCCCTCGCGCCTCGCTTTTGGCGTAGTGACACAAATGCTCCCATGACGTCGCGTCACGTGCCTCGCTCGTGTCGCTCTTATTGGGTCGCGGGGCCCTAGCCTCCACAGTTCACCAAGTTATCGTGAACCGGAGTACAGAGGGAGTATAATTGCTACTGACGTCACAATAACGCGTTTCTTGTGTTTGACCGTTTGAATATATTGATGCAAATATGTGTGTCGATAAGCATGCGAAGAATGTGCGTAGGATACAAGGGGTGCTTCTTTTTTATTTCCAACAGATTGTTCTCGCAATTGGTGTAACGTGCTCGTGGGACCAGTCACACGTCTACCTTTTGCCACGTGATCGCGCTCCGGACCTCACCCACACGCAGAAAAGGGGATCGGGTGATGAAAGGGTGGAACAATTGATTTGTCCGCCAGGCACGTAGTTCCCATCGCACCGTTGACTGTAGTCAAATTCTGTTTTGACCTATTATGATGTTTTTTTTTATCACGTAATAGCCAAAGACGCATCGTGTATCCCTCGGACAACACATCAAGTCAGGTCATTCTGTTCTTTACATCAAATCGTGCAGGATCTATGATCCCCACGAAAACGAGGGTAGTTCTTCGAAATTAAAAATGCCTCGCTCCTCTAAACTTTACGCAACGTACAGACAAGATGGACAAGAGTTGTACAAGTAAAAATATTCCCCCTTTTATATATATATACATAAATTTCTTTTGTCTTCTGGGCCTAACTTTAAATTCAGGCTTGCTTTGTGAATTGTTTTTCTTTTTATTTTGTCATATGGCCGCACTTCTGTAACTGTGTCCCCTTTTTTGCTCTTTGTGTTTGATTATTTCGTTATTATTGGATTCACGTGCCGACTATCTCTTTTTTATTGAGTCTGTCTTTTAGTAACATCAGAAAAACGCACAATGGAATTGATCGTTTGTAGCAGCTGAGTCAAACAGTTGCGGTCTGCCATTGGTTTCTCTCATCCTTTCCACGAGGGGTAACAATAAATGTGAAGTTGAACTACACTTTGAAAGAATCGTGACTGTTTTAATGGTGCATTGCTCTAATACTAATAAAACAAAAAAGTAGAAGTATAATTTTTTTTATTTAGTCTGGCTTGAGTAGAACATTCTCTACTCTAGCAGCTTTTTTAATTTTGTTTTGTTTATTTCTATCTGCAAATTGATTCGCAGATGGAAAACTGAGGCAACAGGTGTAGGTGCCTAACAAGGCCCTGAACCTTTCTCGGCGTACAGCCGGCACCATGCATACAGGCACAGAACTGGAAAAGATGCAATTATGTTAAATTTACAGTATATATATAAGCTTTCTGGACAAAACCCAATTAAAAAAAAACAGTAAATATAGTATAAAATTAACAACACCCCCGAAACCTACACTATACTGTAATAACTTTTCCGGAAAGTTAGTGGAGGCGTATACCATTTACGTATCTAAACAGGTTTGACAGGAGAAACGTAAACATAATAAAAAGAAAACAAGAATACAAATACACGGAGAAGATAAATCTGTACCCTTATAAATAAGAGTCCTTCTACAATCACATACACCTAAACTGTACAACTGGCACTATACATAAAAATTAAATTCGACTTTTTCGCCCCTACTCATTGTTATAAAATTATAAACCCCTGTCCCCATGACATGGTATTGCTAATGAACCCCCCCCCCCCCCTTTTCCCCCATTCCCCCTCCCCAAAAAAGAAATCTGCAAGTCTAGAATAACGTAGAACAGCAGCGGAAAAAGAAACTTGGACGAAAAGAAACGTGTAAAGAGTGCGCAGAAAAAATACGCGTCTGATCGGTTTTTCTTTTGTCCGTTTTATCGTTGTAGCGTAAAGGCTGTCACGTAAGGTACTAGAGTGCGGTGGAATGAATTTCCGTGATGCACCTATTTAGGCGATAACAATTGTGCTGCGATACTGGGGAACCCACGCAAGGAACGCAACGAGCCGACCGAGCCAATCAGAAAGCGCCAAAGTATGCAACGTCACGGCATTTGTCATTTTATTGTACGCCCAAATTCAATGAATGCACTGTGACCTAGAGCCTCCAGTATGCATATGTCCGTGTTTGTATGTCTCCTAGACTGGCTGCGCTCTTGCTTATGGTGAAACCAAGTGTAGTGAAATGTGAAAATGCGCCTATATACTTTTTGTTTTTCGGTGCCGTGGTGCACAGTGCTCATCGACACCTATGGAGCGTGTTCTCGAGCGATATTCGTGCGTAAAAAAACAATTCGTGCAAACCAATGAACGTGGTACACTCGAACTTATCACAAAGGTGCTCTTAGGTGGTGCATTGTTAATATTAACATATAAATATATGTTTAAAAAAAAAATATTTTTTTATGCACAAGTAGGAAAAGCGCAAAACCCGTCTGGTTGACGGTTCTACACTTATTCACGGATGGTACCACACACGCTCGAATCTGCTCGATATGCTTTCGGGCATTCATATCTAAGAAGTTTTCCCTTTTGGGCTTTATGTGATCTGCAGTGTTGCGAAGTACTTTAAGTACATTGTACTTAAAGTACCACTTTATGTAGTTTTAAAAATGTGTACTTTATTTGAAGTACATTGTACTTAAAGTACCACTTTATGTAGTTTTAAAAATGTGTACTTTACTTGAAGTACATTGTACTTAAAGTACCACTTTATGTAGTTTTAAAAATGTGTACTTTACTTGAAGTACATTACCTGAGTATGTACTTATACTTAAAGGAGCTGTGCAACAATTTTAATGCTTTGCTTATATATTTGGGAGTTGGTGTCTCGACCTTTCTGAAGTAAAGAACAAAAAACCGCTTTTGCCCTGCAAGTCCAAGATTTCATTTTAAAAATGGACAAAGATTGAGGTTTTCGGCACCATCTTCCGAGTCACGTGCGCGATGACGTCAATGGGTGTCGCGCGGGGTTCCGGTAAAGCTCTCTCTCTAGAGCCATCAGTGAGCAGCGAGAACTCATCCGCTCGCGACCGGGTTACCACGTGCTGGCGCAGCGCGAACAATATAGTGAAAGGAGGAAGGTCTCATCCGGTTCCGGCCATACCGTCCGGCTCTGTCCCCCTTCCCCTCCGGCTTCTGGCGGCTGTTCACGGTAGCAGATAGAGCTGGGGGTTTTGTTGACCTTGGATAGATGGCGCCACTAAAACTCCGTATACATAATAAAAGGTTTGTCGATGATACCAGGTTTTTGACGCAATTAAATTTATGTTTGAACGACAAGATTTATAGAAAAGTTACCCTTTATTGAGCAGGTAATCGCACAACGTGCTATCCTTCTACAAGACCCCCATTGACGTCATGCCACATGGTTCTCATGGCCGCCGCTCGCGGTTGCAGGTCGGGGAGTATTCTAATTTTTGCCTCACGATTACACGGCGGAATCGGTGTGTTTTCTGTCCTTTGTGACAAGATAAACAATGTCAAAAGTAGACGATGCCAATTCTTTCAACGTTAAAATCGTTGCACAGCTCCTTTAACCTGGAGGGTCTTTTCTAGTACTTTCCGCGAAAAGCACTACTCCCTACGTCAAGGTACATTCCCCAAACTTTGGTCTCGGTGAAATTCAGCTCTTTTAAGGACCAGGAACTCGGGTCCCTGGCTTTCCCAGTATTATACCCAACTTCTGAGGTTCAGCATAAAAACTCACCAACCTCTAACAAAAAAATAAAAAAATAAAAAAGAAACGGTGTATTATTATGTGAAAATGCACTGTTGCCTTTCGGGACGTCATCTGGTCATTTCTCTGAGTGAAGTAGTGGCGGCTATAGGACCGATACAAATAAGTGCCTTATAATAAGGGTGCCGTGTTTTCGGAGCTTATCTCTTGAACAATTTGGAGGGTTGTTTTTCGGTGTTTATTTTGCGCTAGAAATTCGAGGTTTATCTAGTTTATTTTTGTTATATTTCAAAAATCTTTGGAATTCAGTGTTTAATTTTACTGCGTTCCAGTTTTTAAAAATTCTCTATAAAAATGAATGTTCGGACAAAAACGTGTCCTAAGTTTATACAACCTCAAGGGTATTAAATTTATTTCTGCTGCTGCATTTGGCACTGGTGCCCTTGCGATTGGCAGTACTAACTACCCCAAGACAAATCTCGCAGACAAGCGTTGCTTCAATAAACGCCGGTACTTTGAAATAGCCAAACTCCTGGACGTAGTCGTTGAGAAGCATAAACGCTTCAGCTTCCCTCCCCCTTCTATGAAACCTACAGGTTACAAGCCCTCCACTATCTAAAAAGCACAACACTGTGGTCTAAACTGAAAACCGGAACAGTGCTTTTGTCGTAACCCAGAACTGCATTAACCCGTTGTACCGAACGTTGTACTGACCCCTTGTACTGAACAAACCCTGACAAGACTCCCTTTTGTCAGTAATCTAATCCTATACTAAAATAAGAATAATACTGATGTGGCCTGTTTTCAGGATTACTAATTAGGTAAACTGATGACCTTTATTCGTAAAATATCGTCTTTTTTGCTTTTTTATTTTACCATTCTGACCGCCAAATTCTGAGCTTTTCGGATAACCACAAACTCATGGGCATTTTAACGGCGAGTATTTTCCGGAGTTTTTAAAATTTATCCGAAAACACGGTCTCCTACTTATAAGTTGATTGTGTTAAATAGTTCATCAGTGGTATTAAAAAAATTATTATGTGACCCCTTGACTTCACTCAATATTTTCTGCTATTTCCGAAAATAACTGATTCATTACACCTCGGGCAATGCCTACCAATAAAAAAAAAAAGACTCTATGGGAAAACAAGGACATATTGAAAGCTTATGTTAAGTACTTGTACTTTACTTTGAAAGTTAGATTGCATTTATAGTACTTTACTTTAAGTACACTACGCCCGGTGTAATTACTACTTTACTTGAAGTACATACGCTCTCATTTACTTTGTACTTTTCTTCAGGTACTTCTTAGATGTACTTTACTCAACACTGGCCATCTGTGAGTAGCAGTGTCAAGGAGAACATTTTTGTCGTTTTTCTCCAGGTGCATTAGAAAAACAAGTTTTTAGGCTTATTGTGCTAGTAAATCCTACAATCATAGAACTTGGGTTTTATAAATGCACTTTCTAAAGGCCTTTGTGAGAAATTGCAATGCACTCATCTCGATAATTCGTTTATTTATACGAACTTTCTTTTATGCCCCAATACCCCCCGAGAACACCCTGCGCCCAAATTACTGAGAACTGTAATTTCATTGGCGCAGCCATAATGACGAAGTGCTGCACTCTTAGCAATAATCGCAAGATTATACTTTCTTCAATTGTCAAGTAAAGTGACCCCGAACAGCCATCAGAGAACAAATTTTATATACCATTAACGTTTATATGAATAGCTTTAGTTTTACAAGCAATCCTAGGTCGAGCAAACACAGTCATTCAGTCATGTCTTCTATGACCATCCAATGACCATCCATCTGCAGTTGCACTAATAGCAAAGTCATTTCGTGTTTATAGAAATGTTTTACTTGTGTATTTTTCTGTTTAATCAGCTGTCTTTCCTTAAAATGTTTTGAGTGTTTATTTTTTTCCTGTTTTTGTTGCTTGATATAACAATGTTCTTCAGCATGTAACCCACTTTTTGTTTGTTTCCTTATATAATGTTTTTTCAGCGAGTACCCCCCCCCCCCCCACCCTTTGTGTAATGCCCGTAAGGGCCTTCAAGGTTTAATAAATGATGATGATGACGATGATATTGTGGGCAGCGTTCTCTCTGTGCTACCAAGAGTGAAATTAAAATGTTAAAAGTGTCGAAGAGCTGCTGCGGTTTCGTACACTCGTACGCAGCCATAAAGTATATGCTGAAAGTCAACCACACTTGTCTTGTCCAGTCGCTTCGCAATTCAGAAAAATAATAAAATGCGTTTGAACAAGCTGCTAGCAACGCAGCAAGCTGTGGATCGCTCTTATACCGTTACATCGTTTTCGTCGTACTCGCCGGTTAACTATGCGCGACATAGCAGATGTTCAGTCGAAACACCGCGCACAGCACAGCTTTATAGTTTTAGAAGCAATCATAGGTCGAGCAAACACAGTCATTCAGTCATGTCTTCTATGAACTACAACAACTTCAACGCTTCCAATTTCCTACCAATACGTGACCCTCGCACCATAGGGTGGACTCTCGTTGGTAACGTACCATTTCTGATGACCTTGCTCTCTGGCTACGTGTACCTGGTCAAGTGCGCTGGACCCCGCTTCATGAAGAATCGTGAGCCGTGCGAGCGCATCAAACCGGTCATCCAGCTCTATAACGCGTCCATGGTCCTGCTCAACATCTACTTCGTGAAAAACTTCTTTACAAGGTCTTACTTCGGCGGGGGCTACGACATCGTCTGCCAGGGCATCGACTTCCAGAAAAACGACCGAATCTCTCAAGAGTTTCTCGAACTCTGCTGGTGGTACTTTTGGGTCAGAGTCGCTGACTTCCTTGACACTGTCTTCTTCGTGCTCCGCAAAAAGGACTCCCACGTGTCGTTCCTCCACGTCGCCCACCACGTCCTGGTGGTCTTCAACGGGTGGTATGGATTAACCTTCGGTCCGGACGGACAGGCTGCCTCGGCACTCATCTTCAATGGCTTCGTCCACGTCGTCATGTACGCCTACTACTTCCTGTCCCTTCTGGGCCCGGCCGTGCGCCCGTACCTCTGGTGGAAGCGCTACCTTACGCTGTTTCAGATGGTGCAGTTCGTCGTCATAATGATTCATAACATAATTCCACTTATCAGGGATTGCAGCTACCCAAGGGGCCATACGATAATAGGTCTTCCTCAGGGTGTCTTCTTTATTACCATGTTCATTCGCTTCTACGCAAAAGCATACAGAGGCAAGCAGATATCTCCTCGGGAGAGCAACCGGAGGCAAAAGGCTCAATAAAGCTGCTGTGGATCCAAATTTGTAGAAACGATTGTTTGTATCTTTAAGGTGATAACCATATAAGAAAGGTAATAAAAATAAACATACATGACTGACGGAACTTACAGTCATTCTAAGACTGTTTATTGTTGATTTCAAGTACTGAGATACGTGTAGTCTGACTTTGTTAATGCCAATTTTGATTATCCCACAATCGGGTAGGTTCTGGCGCTCCACAACCATAAAGAGTGAATGAATACCTTAAGCATTATGTCGCATCAAAGCACCCTTTAGCCCTCGGAAAAAGTGCATAGGATGTAGAATTATTAGTGTTTGTACAGTTGGACAGCAAGTAGAAGTGTGCGATCCGTGTTGTGAGTACACGCAGAAAATGTATTTGTTTGTCGAGGATAAACCTTTGCATCTGATTTTAATGCATGCTTGTCATACGCTTGTTTTTGTATGAGACGATATCATGGGGACTGATCCCTCTTGTCTGCGTAATATGTCTTTTTCCTTTTATTGTCTTCGTGTGTCGACAAACGTTCTTTTCATTTCTGAGCCTGTGTTTTATAACCCCTTTTTGGGGAGTTTTCTTTGACTACCGTCCCGCAAAGCACTCCAGAAACCGCTCTGAGATCCAGAATGCTGCAGGCAGCTTCTAGCGGAGCGCACGCGCGGTAGAGGCGTCTTCGTTGCGGAAAGAGCGTAGCGGTCTACGCATATTTCTGGGGTGGTGCCAGCTGAACATTAATGAACACAAATATAGACGACCGCAAGACCATCAACTAAGCCTTCTTCTTCCTTCACTACTATCTGTATTTACGACCTGAATTGAAGCCCTCTTCTTCCTTAATTACAAATTGTTTCCAAATTTTAATATAAATTTGTAAATTATATTATAAATATAATAAATAAAAATATGACTAAAATATATATATAATAAAATTAAAAAGAATTCTTTACGAATGGGCAAATCCAGGCTGTAAATACTGATAGTAAAGAAGAAAGAAGGCTTCAATATAGTTGGTAGTCCAGCGCTTGTCTATAGACGCCTTGCAGCAGCTGTGCATGGACGCCGCCATAACTGACCTTCAGTTTTTGTTTCCTCTTATACCGTTGATTTCATTTCATAATTACCATAGCAGGCCAGGGTATTGCCATATCAGATTCAACTGTGTCCTTTTCTAAAGCATCGGCCTTTGTAGAGGATCGTTAACTACCGTTTCAATTGGTCGTCATCTCGGTAAGACAAGAGAAGGTCAGCAATGGCGGCTGTAATTTGGCGCGTGTGTAAAGCGCCTATATTTTGTGTTTATTAGTGTTCAGCTGGCACCGCCAAAAAATATGAACCAACTAGCTCAGTTCCAACCAGCAGTACGAAAACTTGCTATGCGGGTAGAGGCCGAGGGAGAGGAAGGGTACTCCCGAGCATCGAGCTCTGACTGGAATGATTCGTGCGTAGACGCGAAAGTTAGCCGCCTTCGTCTCTACCATAGCCTCCTCTAGACTCACAAACCCTGGCAGTTCGACGACGGAGCCATAGAGTGCCCGGTCGCAGATATGGAGTGCGAGGATCAGGAAGCAAAGAGCATCAAAGAGCCATTTCTCGGGGGACCTGGGCGTCAGCGCGCAGCTTTTGCAGCGGCGAATACCCGAAACACACTTGTTCGCTCGGGAGGAGTGTGTTTCAGCGAGGGAGCGCAGGAGCGAGGGCGCTTCCGACCTTTTTAAAAATAGCAAGAGCGCTCGCACTGACTCTTCCGCACTGTTGTCAGTGCGGGAGAATATGCCTGGCAAGCTTGCACGCGCTATCCACACGAGCGACAATCGCTTGGCGGCTGAAAGATAATTTCATGACCTAACGAATGGTTGGAGGTCTTTTGAGTTTTCCCGCGTTTATTTACATATTCGAGGAAAACGAACGTGATATTCAGATTCACGAGATAAAAGTACTTTACGATTTACCTCTAACCAGTTTTTTTTTTTTTCCAGACCCTTTTCGGCTTTCTTTTAAGTAACTGGACACTTGATGGAAAATCGGAACAATATTGAATCTTTCGGTACACTCAACGTAAAATCAGAACAATTCGAGACAACAAAGTTTATGGAAACCAAATGGAAATTGCCTGATAGGTGCGTACTGGTACAGCGAACGAAATAACGAACAAGACAAGAACAGAGAAACGGAACATGCATGACACACAAGCGCTGACTCGCAACTGAATTTATTCACAAAAGGAAGAAGAGAACGTGCACAAAATCACGCTGACACTGTCATCGAAACGCTCTTCAAAACCTGGACATGTCCCGGAAATCCAAGCTCTAGCGTGACTCGTGGCCCGCTCTATTTAGCGGTATACTTTTCGGCTAAATTTGTCGGGAATCACGTGTTGCGACTGTGACGTCACATAGTGCCTGACGTCACGTGACATGGCGTCACAATTTCCCCGCTCAAAAATCAGCGAAGGCATCCTTCTGCTAAATTTAGCGGGAAAAGTGTTGTGAGTTTAGAGGGAATTAATTCGTCCCGTCACGTCATTTTGCCGCGTGGCGCCATGGTACCCTCAGTGTCACGTGTCATGGCGTAACGTCGGATCACACACCGTCCGCCAAATTATGCGGGAGATAAATCCGCTAAATTTAAACATCGAAGTGTAACTGCGGGAAACAGTGTGCAGCGTTTCGGGTGCCGCCGCAGTTCACTCGCAGGACAGGACAGGAAACAGGAAATGAGTTTCCTAACATCAGAACATGTACCACACGTTTTTAGCCACGTGCCACGGGAAAGGGGACAGCGTACTCGAACAGCTCCAGTCTGCCCTTCATATCGCGCTTTTTCCACAGGAGAAAAATTAATAAAAAATAAGGCCGAGCTCGACAATTCAAAGGCATCTTGAATATTTTCACGGTTTAATGCTACCGTGCTGAGTAAATCCCTGTCAACGGTTAGTCCAGCTTGGACGAGACTCCTTTCATCCAAGGCATCGGAAGGCAACTGCTTCACTCCGCCGAATATGTTAGTTATAATATCGTACAACATGGAGCGGAGAATGAATTTCGACAAAGAGAGATATTCACAGGTCACCCAGTTAACAAGCGAATTCGATCGCTGTTGTCTTTTTGTTTTCTGCTTCTTTTTTTTTAACATACTATGTTATAACATATATTCCGTTATCTAAACCACGAGAGACTTGTGTGGTGCGCCGTAGTAGTCAATACATTTGGTTGTTCGATCCTACCGTCTAGGAACGAGCAAAAATGTTAATTTTAACTTCGGACTTTGTCGCAAAGTATGTGTCGCGCACTATTTTAGGTGTCGAGTGCCCAAATCAGTTAGAAGAGAAATTGTATTTGCTTCACAAGACAATAGGTATTGACACCTGTTTCTTAATCAGTGAGATGATATCTTCAAAAAGAGGTAAATAAAAGGATCCAGACCATCTATCAAAAACTCACTTTTATCGTGTTAATCTTCGCTTACATCTGCCGGAGAGCGTAAATTGTCTGATGCGCGATGTTCTTTGTGATAGAGTCAAATGAAAATAATAAAAAAAAAATCGACGTTTGGCGCTCTGTGGAAGGTCTGCCGCAGCTCTCCACAGTCAGCAATTATGATTAAATACAATGACACTTTTCTGACGTCAAATGCATCAAAAACAAAAACAAAACAAAATGCCATTAAATGCGCTTCATAGAAATCGGAGCAGTGAAGCAAGCTGCGAGGGGCTCTCCATCTGTCGCAGCGTTCCCGTTCGTCCGGAATCTAATACTGAATCCGACTTAACAGCCGTGCAGTCACAGAAAGCGTCACGCCACATACTGCGACAGTTCTGCAGCATCGAGCCAACATAGCCGCCCGAACATGCCTTCTCCGAACACAAACTCTAACTCTTCAAACTTAATACCGATCCGCGACCCTCGGACCATGGGCTGGACGCTCGTCGGTAACGTACCGTTTCTGCTGACCCTCCTCATCGGCTACGTGCACCTAGTCAAGTACCTCGGACCCCGCTTCATGAGGAGGCGTAAGCCGTACGAGGGCATTAAGCCGGTCATCCAGCTATACAACGTGTCCATGGTACTCCTCAACATCTACTTCGTCAAAAACTTCTTGAGCCGATCCTATCTCGGAGGTGGCTACAACTTCATTTGCCAGGGCATCGATTTCGAAGCCAAGGACCAGACCACGACAGAACTCCTGGAGCTCTCCTGGTGGTACCAGTGGGTAAGGGTGGCTGACTTACTGGACACCGTGTTCTTCGTGCTCCGTAAGAAGGACTCCCATGTGTCCTTCCTCCACGTCGCCCACCACGCTCTGGTTGTCTTCGACGGTTGGTACGGCCTCGCCTACGGTCCGGACGGACAGGTGGCCCTCTGCATCATCATCAACAGCTTCGTCCACATCCTGATGTATTCCTACTACTTCCTCACGCTCCTGGGTCCCGCTGTCCGCCGACACCTTTGGTGGAAGCCCTACTTGACGCGGCTCCAGCTGGTCCAGTTTGTCGTCGTCTTCATCCACTTTCTGGTCTCATTCTTCGAGGACTGCGGTTACCCAAAGTCCCACTCCACATTGATGATTTGCGAGGAGGTTTTCTTCTTCTTCATGTTTGCACGCTTCTACGTAAAGGCTTATGGCCACAAACGAGGTTCTTCGTTCCTGGGCGGTTCCAATGGGAAGATTCAGTGACTGTTCAGAAGAACGACTAATCTAGTTGCGAGGCCTTTGGCCCGCAATCCGCGATAGTAGTATCAGGGTGCCTGGAACGCATCTCCAATTGGTGTGTTTACTATGTCAAAAAAAAAAGTGGCCCTTCGATTTTTTTTTTTTTTTTGACATCACACAAGTGTCATATTGTGGGCGCGGTCGTGATCTTGGCGGTGTCACGGCAGCGGTGGTTGATGTGGCAGACACCTGTTCTACTACCGGTCTCTCTCCACTTTGACAGTCCATGGGAGCTTTGGCAGCCAGGAGTTCGGACGCTGCGACGACAGCGACACCCACGCTCGCTCCTGCTTTTCGCCAGCATTTCTACGACCAACCGCCAGGGTGGCGACATCCAACAGCATGACACTCCGGTTTCTGTGACGTCATTTGTTGCCACTTCGGAGCAATTTTGATGTATGGCCAGGATAGGACGCCAAACGCAACAGTCGGAGACGCGTTCAAGGCACCGTAGTACAACTAATATAGCTTTGTGAGGTAATTTAAAACAAAGTAGGTATCATTGTTAAATGCCCAAGCGCAATTCACGACTCGTGTTTTTTTTTTAATTAAACAAATTTTAAGGCGCTATAAAATGCCATGCGACTGCCCAGATATCGGCAATTATTTCCTGAATAATTATTTGCACAGCAGGTAATCACACAATATTTCTTTTTACAAAAGAAATAAACAGGTTTCAATAAGAAGAACCAGGAACATTGCCAATGCTATAACAGTTGAGAAAATTGCACGTGGAGAAACCTGTCTCTTTTCTCGCCGTGCAATAGCATTTACATGCCGACAACTGAATTGAAACTGAACGAAACCAAATGAAAAAGTGTTGTATGTGCCACTCATTAAACTGATCCTATTTAAGTGCACCTTAGTATTATATGACATCTGGTCATGTTTTCTTTTGTTTCTCACTGATCTTTCTGTCAGATGCCTTTAGAGATTAGTTCTTGTAAACGTGTTTTTGTCTGTTTTTACGAGCAACTTGTTAGTTTGTACCAACGAGCTGCATGTGGTTGATTGTGTATTTTTCATCCACCCTGTAATAGCCCTAAAAATGACTATTAATAAATTTTAAAAAATATCAGGTTTTTGTGAAATCATTACATCAAATGTTACAATATGAAACGGAAACAAAACCGTTTATTCAACCTGAGGCCACCCTAACAAAACAAACATATTTGTTAAACGGTCAAATGAATTTCCTGAAGAACCGGAGATTCAAATGCTTCGTTATTTCTACCCAGGTCGCGACACATTTGAGCACCACCACGAATCAAAAGAACTGCTCCTTATCCATACTGGCATTGTTATACGAGTATAAGCACCAAAGTTAAACATTGGAACGTGCAAAGGCCATAATCGCGTTTACCAATACATGTTTCAAAGTCTCACCATAAAGCTCCATGCTTCAACCGTCGAGCGCTGTTCGCTTCTAATAAAAAAAAAAAAAAGCTGCGACAGGCATAGTTTAGCTATACGAGTATAAGCGCGAAAGTTAAACATTAAAACGTGCAAAGGCCGTAATCGCGACTACCACAACCTGTTTCAAAGCCTCACCATAAAGCTCCATGCCTCAGTCGCCGAGCGCTGTTAACTTCTGATAAAAAAAAAAAAAGCTGCTCGTTGGCAGGATACCCACACTATAAAAGTATGCATTCCTGAGAGCTCTATCGGGGCGTGTACGAACAAAATTCGCATAAATAAGTCAATGAACGCGGTGTGTGTGCAATGTAACTTTTTACAAAGGTGCCTTCTCGGTGGTAGATTTATTATACTCAAATTTCACCAAAGTTGGTTCCCGGAAAAAAATTTCAAGCCTAAAAAAAAAACCTTGTTATTCCCATGGAGGAAAACGGAAACAAACCTTCCGGTTGATGCTGCTATACTCACAGATGGTACCGCACACACGGTGAGGTAGAGGGGCTTAGAGTGGCAAACCGGAAGTTCGAAAGTGGCGCCCCCCCCCCCCCCCTGGGTTGCCACCATGTTGTACGCAAAACCGACTTCCCGTCACGTGACCTCACAAAATCTGTGACGTCAAAGAAAAGATGGCAGCGCCCAGAGACAACGGGGGCCGTGGGAGACGTGTGTCCGAGCAGAGGAACGGGAATCGTGGCATACGACCGGTTTAAAGCCATTTCTTCCTTTTTCATGCTCTCTCACGTAGGTATGACATGAGAATTTCACGGTCCGCGTCTTTTTGTCAGTTTTTTGCTCATAGTCGGCGTGATTATCGCAAAAGAGTAATACAAAATGAGCCCCACGTTGGTCGGCCATCGCTAAGCGTTGTTTGAATGTCAAGTTGGACATCAGAGATTCGCTGCGTGCATCACGCGTGGAAGAACAGTTTTGGAACGACAGCGAGCAACCCAAGTTCACAGGAGAAACCCTGTCAGGATCTCAGTACTTTATTGTAGTCGCCAAATCGCCCTGCCGTCGCAGTCTTCCACCGGAACGAAACCGCTTCTTTGGAGTTTACGGTGCGTGCCTTTCAGCGAGTTTGGTGCGAGGTTTCTGTCTGCCCGCGTCCCATTACTGCAAACTCTTCAGCTGCCCCAAAGCTCTGTGTTCCCCGGAATGGACGAGATGGTGCCGTGCGAAGTGCCTCGACTGCCGTTGTGTCCGCCTCGGCCAGTCGCCAAATCGCCAAGTCTACCACCGGAACGAAGCAGCTTCTTTCGACTTCATGACGCGTGCCTTGTAGCGAGTATGGTGCGAGGTTTTTGTCTACCCGTGTCCCTTTGGCATGAAGAATCCTCAGGGCTGATCGTCGGCCGAGTGTGTTTGTGCACCACAGGTTGGAGTATGCGAAGCAAAAGCTCACACTACAGAACCCAGATGTCAGGAGTTTAGTCCCAGCTTCTGCCCATCTTGATGTGAATGAGCATTGTACCGGCGTCCGGTCGTATATCACTACTGCGTTATGCTTGTTAAAGACCCCCAGACTAGCACTGGTGCTGTACTGGCTAAATTTGTCATCTAAGCAAAGGTGCTGACGTCCATCGGGGATAAGTAACTTCCCTCTGTCTAAACATACACAACACAACTTTGTTCCCTTCCTCTGGGTGAATACTGGTGACCAACCAGCCAGCCTCTGTTGCACACTGGCTCTTTTTGCCCATGCGCCTTCATTGAGCTGTCACAGTGACTGGTCATTCAAACTATGAAGGATTCTTGGTCTCTCTGAACTTTGAGGCTTGCAAAGATTCTGAGGCGGTAAAAATGTTTCAGTTCTTGCTTTTTTTCTGAAATCGTGCTTCTTTCGGTGTGTCCCACCACGTCTTTATGTATGGGAAAGTCCACAGTGCTTGTCCCTCGGTACTGTAATGCAGCTGTGGCCTTGATACTGCCCTCGAAAGATGAAGCAACTTTGTGAAAAGCTGTGGGAGAACCACCCCTCTTTTAGCGGTACTTTGCTGACGGCACATGTGGTGTATTCGCATCTTGAAGTAGTACTCCAGCATTGTATTCATTATGATAGCACAGTTGAACTGATGATCAATTGTTTGAGCAAGAAATACATGATCAAACCTCCTGAAAAGTGTGGTTTTGGAGGCAATGCCCATTGTCTCAGTCTGCAGCTTGAGGAGCCAGTTTCGGACTCTTTTGGCCACCGCGTCAAAGTTTTGCCGAAACACCTTTTCTGCTATTGTGCTCAAGTGTAGGACGTCTTAGGAGGGGCTGTGGAGGCCACCAGCGTCTTTGGTGAGCACCAGGCAACGTTTGTCACTTGTGACCAGCGCACTCCTGGAGCATTCTGGACACTTGGTTACTTTGGCAAAGTTTACGGCCACATTCCCTGCGATATACTCGACAACGCACTCATCGAACTCATCGAACTGAGAAAGTGGCTGGTAGGAGTTGATCTCGTGGGTGCCTCCGCCCCCTTGCAGCTTCATCTCTTGCCTGGACTTGCTGGTGCCTTTCTGACGAGCTCACAAGAAGTGTTGCCGTGCCGTCGACTTGGCAGTTGCCTCGCGTTTAGGACAGGACGTTGTCGACTAGGCACTTACTATAGGCAGAGTAGAACTCGAGTGCCGTTGGGCTGTCGTTGTTGCGCACAGTCGCAAATAACAGTTCAATGTGGTCCTGGCTGAGCTTCCTCATCAGCAGGCATCTGAGTGGTGGACTCGGGCCCCACACCAGGTCTTCAGCGAGGCCCTTGATGGACTTGAGCAGGAAGCCGAGGATTAGGGTTTCCTTTCTCCTTGGCTCAGTGGCTGGCCCGTTGAGTCCTTCAGGCCCCGGAGGTACACTCTTAAAAGAAAGGGTATGGAGAGTCCTCCCTTAGGGGAGGAACGGTCTTGTAACCTATGTTCCTTTAGAGAGGGAGAAACTTTCGGCCCTGAAGCAGGGGAGCAAAGTTCCTCCGTCGCTTGCATCTCAATATGGCGGCCCCGAATCGAGCAAATGGAGCCCAATAAGGCTTGACGAGGACGCTACGTCTCTTGTACGGGACGAGAGCAGCAGCAAATGAAAGCGTAACACGACCTTTGCGCAAACTGTGTTTATTTCCTAAGCCAAATTCCCCCCACAGGTACAGAAACTTGCGTTTCGAAAGCAGTACCTCAGTCTTCTCGTCGTCAGCACTGCGATGTTAAACGGAGACAACCGATACCCAGTTACTTCGCGCACTTTGCGTCTTACCTTAGGTGTTCCTCGAGTCACAATTCCTTCGTCAACCGCACATCACGGAGAAGGGCAAACTCAACCCGCGAAACCAAAAGCCGCTCTCGAAAGAACAAACTCGAAGCCGCTGTTTATCGCGTAGCGTGGAAGAAGGTTAAATCGCTAGCCACCAGATGGCGGGGTCAAGCAGAGTAATTGCAAGTAGCTAGGCTAGGTGGCGCTAGGTACCGCCCAATTCATGTTCTAAAAAAAATAATTTGCTTCTCTCAGGCCACACTGCGCTTGGGGATCATCTACTATACACACATTACGCTTGTTACAAGCATCAGGTCAACATACATTGAGCACATACACGGCACACACAAATATCAATACATCGGAACACCACACTAACCCGAACACTACACCCGTGCTCTGCGTTTCCGCCTTTTATACTGGTCGTTTTGAACGTGCTGAACTTTTCGGTGACTCCCTAAGCAATAAAAAATATTCCCAGCATGTTGATTTTTTTCCCAGCAATGTCATACCTCTGAGAGTATTTTGAATGGCTCAGAGGATGAATCTCTTATTAAAAAGTAAACGCTCGATCATGCCGTAATTATTTGAAAGCCAATAAATCAAGCCGCTCCAATGCGGTTCGAAGCGTTCGAAGCCATGAGTTTGTTTCCCCACACGGCACGTCGTAGCCTGTATTTCTATTGGTTTTTCTATTTGTGCTGTTCGCGCAAAGCTGCAATTGCCGTCTTGAATTAATCTCTGTAGAGCGGATATTCACTCAGCTGGAAGTGATGCTTCACGGGCTGAGAAATCGCTTTTCGATCAACTTGAATGCAGTCAAAGCCGCGACTTGCGGCAGGAGCTACGCCGCTACACCGTGGCGAGCCCGAAAACTTCTAGACCTCATCCCAGCGTGCCACGGAGGGCAGTTTCTCCAGGAACCGTAGTATATTTAAACAGCAAATAAAGGGTAGCTTTTTTTTTTCTCTATTTTACCTACTATTGTTTTTTAATGCCGAAATTCCATACTGTAAATATACGTACTTTCCGTCACGATTTCGTACTGTTCAGTCCTTGCCCCAGAGCGCAATCGCTCTGGGGGCGAGACAATCCCGACAGTCACATTGGCCACTGTACGATAGGAGCTTCTACTGTTCAGACCAGCGTTCCAACATGACTATCCGCACGTTGATCGATTGCACGTAATCCCTCAAGTGGTATTAAACTGTTTAATGTAAAGCGGAACATCAACCCGCGATACCCCGCCCCCTCCGATTACGGCCCGACCAGCGGCATCAATGCCCAACAGTTTACGATCTCATCTTCTTGTTACACCACTGATACGCGAACACACGGTCACATCGGCGATAATTACAGTCTTCTGTTCACAACCCACAACACTGCCATCATGATGCTGCAGCTATGTTGCTGACACGCACAAACACAGAACCACGTTGAACGCCGGTTGCACTCGGCATCGGAAAACAGAACAGAACTCAGGGGGGAAGGCACCCAGGCAGCCGGCAGCAAAACCTGCCTGTCTTGGACGTGGTTCCTGCGGTTTCCATAACGTCGAAAACGTCGACACAGTTCCGCGTGGTTTCGCTACTGTAGGGACTGTAGTGCTAGTAGTGCTGTGGTTCCGTGCCGCGCGAGTCCCGCAATCCGGAGACGGCCATCCCCCAGTGTACGTGGCGCTGCTGGCACTGCTCCGGAACTTCGCTGTTTCTAGCGGCTTCGTTTGCTCGTTTGATAAAATTAGTGATAAAAACGTCAATGCAACCGAAATGTTCTGCACGTTTAGACTAGAAGACAAAAATACAGGCGGCCTTCGCTGCCGCTGAAGCTCAATCAACTCAACAGCTATTTATTAAACAACGTGCGCGACCTGCTCGAAAAACGAAACCGAATGACGATGAGTCGGGAGGGCGAAAGCTTTCTCCCGTCTGCCTGGAGAAGGAGAAAAACGTTGCGTTCCTCCCCTTTTCTCGTGTCCGCTTGGGGGCGCGTCGGTAGGAGGGAGGAAGACGCGCCGTTGCTACTTTTTTCCTCCATTTTTTCTTAGAGTGTAGTGTGAAGCCTGGTCGATGCGCGTCAGCATGGTGTCCTTGTTGATGGCACGAACTTGCTTCCACAACCAAGGGGGTGACAGGAGTTGCTCAGGTCGAAGTGTTGTTGACTGCTGCAGCTAACTCTGCGGTGGCCTCCACACCCTCGAAGTCTCGGATGCCCTCCTCCTTGTGAAACAACGATGGACAGCCTACTGATCGTCTCAGTTTTTGGGCCACCAGAGAGACCTTTATCTTTTGGCACTAGAGTCAATGTGCTGCTTGCGCAGCTTGTTGGCAGCATGAAGGCCCTCTTGTTGCTGCAGACTGTACAGAGCCTCAAGGTAATTCCAGGTCCCGACCTTACCTGCCCCATCCCTGATGCACTGCTTCTGGGCCAGAAGGTTGCGCATTATGGTCATCTGGCTGGGATATAAAAGGTCGTACACCTTCCTGGAGGGGTCAGAAAGGTTGGGAAACCAGCTCCTCAGCGGCCAAACAAAGCGCATTCCAAGTGCTCTCAACATGGAAATGTTGCAGTTGGTGCTGTCGCATGCTACGCTGATGAACTTTGCTCCGGCCTCCGAGTTTGGTGATATACTGGCGCACGAGGTTGGCGCCCGAATGCTGCCTTCCAGCCCGTCGATGAGGGCATAGCTCGGGGGGATTTTCCAGTTTCTGTTGACTGCGAACGCCCGAAACACAAGTGCATGCTTGGCACAGGCGACGCTGTCGTTGTTGAGGATGTCGTCACCCAAGTCACAGTACCGAATGACCTCTTTGCCGTCCCAATCCACTTCTTTCTTGATACTCATCTTGACGAACATTAAGCTGACAAGAAGACGTCCCTTCTTGGCTTCTTGCGTGACTCTGTTGAAGGACTCTCTGGCGAAGCTTGGGTTTCCATCTATCGCCGTTGCCCATTTGCGAAAAGCACTTGGGTGTGGCAACCTGATGTGCTTCCACAGAAACTTTTACGCCTTTGCCGAGTAAAAGTGCATCGTGAGCGTAAACTTGCGCACATCCTTTGCCTACATGTTGTTCGGTTTCCTGGATCTTCTTAGGACAAGGTTGCGCATCGTGTCGGTGAAGATGTTGTCAACAATGTTGACTGCTGGCCCAGGAAGCCGCCTTCTCAGTCCTCAGGGGAGGACATTCAGCTTTTTTTATCCTGGCCGTCTTTCTGATGACCTTCTTCTTCGCCTGTTGAAGCAATTTTCTTGCCTTCTGCAGTTTCCGTCTAGTTCTACGCAGAAGGTCCCTGTGTTGTCGTTGCGACGCAGCTGAATTGTTGTGATCACCGGAACAAACCTTGCGCCGCACACAGACGTCTTCGGGCGTGGTCTCAGGTGTCGACTACGCACTGCTTCCGAGTCCAGTGGCGGCGCTGGCTTCGTGACGCCGCTCAAATAGATATTCGGGCATGGCCTCAAATGTCAACTCCTCAATGCTTCGCGGTCCAGTGGCGGCGCTGGCTTCTAAAGCCTTCCCGGAGCATGGCTGAGTGGTCGACGAGCCAGGCTGTCTCTCCAGAGGATGAGACCTGCCAGCAGAAAAAGAAAAAAACGCACAATCACTACAGTTGACTTCATTTTAAACACGGCAGCTTTCTTCATAGTGTATAATTTTGTCTTGGCAACGCGGAGCGCAGGTTCGTCTGCTTCTTTTGCGGGGGGTCGTGGTGACGTCGGAACGCCAAGCTCTAATTGGTTCTAATTAAAGGATAGTGGGTAGACCACAAGGCAGCTTGCTTTGAGGTCTGCCCACTATCCTTCAATGAGAGCCAATCAGAACTCGGCTTTCTGACGTAGAACAGACATACTTGCGCTTCGCATAGCATATCTGCCGTCAGATTAGAACAAGTGTTCCTTTACTTTCCACAAGCCATAAAGTTAGGTTCCCGTGTTTCTTTTATTATCCCAGCTGTAGCGACTTCTCTTAAAAAATATAGAGACGCTTTCAGCGCGCGCCAGATTGAGCCGCCATAGCCGACCTTTTCCTGTCTTACCGAGATACCGAGTTACTGAAGCGGGCGTTGACGAGTCTCCACAAAGGCCTATGCTGGGGATAAGGACGTGGCAATACTTTAAACGGCAATCACCTGTCCTGCTGTGGTAATGATGGAGTGAAGCGAACGGAATAAGTGGGAACAAAAACTGAAGGTCGGTTATGGCGGCGCCCATTCACAGCTGCCTGAAAGCGTCTATACATGTGGCACCAGTTAGGTAGTTCTGCCAATACAGCCATTTTTATCGAACATCGACATATTTTTTTTTTTTTTTTTTGCCTCTGACACACATTTTTCTTCTCCGTCTCTATGTTCTGCTGCTGTTTTATTTATTTTCAGTGTTGTCAAGGTAAAATCTGAGCATGATAGTGTGTGTATGAAACAGCCACCCATCGTTGTAATCAGTATGTCTTTCTCAGGCAAATAAATAAAGTGATTTGCAGCGATGCACCTGTGCCTTTGCTTGCGTTGCTGGCGCTGAACAGTGCCCACATGAGACTATGATCGTTGTCGTCTCCGAGGTTACCGTTCGGACATGCGTGCCGAAAAGTTTAACTGCTTTGGCACGCCTCCTTTTCGGAGGTACCTGTTGCTGCCCAGCTGGTAGAAGCAGATAACGGGAGCCACTGAAATTTCTTTTCCTACTAGTAAATAACCAGCTAAAAAATAAAAATACAACAGACTATATTTCATTTTTTTGACCGTGCGTTACAAGACGTTCTCACTCGCTTTTGCTGAAAGAATATTCCAGCCAGAACTACGTCTTCGCCCAATCATACTTTCCTAGGACAATTCGTGAATGGAATTGCCTCGGCCCAGAAGTTGTAGGCAGTGATTCTCTGGCGACCTTCCTATCACAACTTGGTAAAGCAGACTATACTTCGTCTCACCCCAGGATGGACTAAAGGTAAAAGCTGCGGGCCACCAAATCCAATCACAAGCGACTATAACATTGCGTGGTATTTCGCTTCGATGCACGTGTCGGTGCCGGCGCCTAAAATCACGAATGGGTATGGGCGGGCAGTAGTTCAAATTGAATAGCACTGAGTGACTTATCAATTTTACATCGCAAATAAAGCCACGACATAAAAACTCTTTGCAGTGTCGAAGCTATAGAAATGATGCAGCGTTTTTTTTATTCGGAGCGTTATTCGTCCTCCCCTAATCAATGTTAAGCATGTCATAGTTTTCCGTGTAACGTGATTGGACCCGGCGGCCCGTGGCCTTGGCCTTTAGTCCATCGTAGGATGAGACAAAGTGTAAGAGTAAAAGATAAGTATCAGATTTATCTCCCCGAGCTGAAATGAAGCAAATAAAGTTTTTGAAGTGTTGTGTGCTGATGACAACCGAATTCCTTTTTTTCCTCTTTTTGGCCACTGATAGGCGGTCATGTCACCAAGGGCACTGATCAATACGGCTCTTATACCTATTTATTTCCTTTTTTGTTTGTTTGATGTAAGTATCTATTTTTGAATTGCTGAACGGCGTTTTGAAATGTTTTCTATGAATGTATCACAATCACTTGTGCGAACCGGCTTGGTGATTGGGACATAGTTTGCAGCGTGTTTTTATCCCGTCATGTACTTTTGCGTGAAGATTGGTGTATTTTGCTTTACCACAGTGTCCACTCTGCTAAAACATTAATGAGGTTGCAGTACTGAATAAATCAATAATTAAATCTGCAAAGTGCGCTGAGTAGAACCTCGAACACCTTCTGCGTGTCCAGTCTTCGCATGCCATTTCCTCATCCACGCCTTCAGGAGTTCCATATCTCCCAATGGGAACCTGTGACAGTATAGGAAAGTGTGGGTGGTGAAGTATCGGAAAACAATTTCCAAAACTTAGAAAGTCTTTTCTTTTCAGAATACATAAAAAACAAAGTACTAATCCCCCTGGTGAAGACGTGAACCCTCTTTATGAATGAACAAAAAACTTGTTTTCCTTTCGGGTTATTTGAGCTGCTCACTTTTAAGAAACTGCTATAGTATAATGATTATGGGCTGGTTTTATTACTAATATCACCCTCCTCTGGAAAGCTGCCACTAAATAAGAATGCCCTACTTTTCAAGACAATCAATTCCCCCTTCTGAATGCATGAAAGTAAGTGAACAAATCAAACATGTGTTTAGCATAGGACAGGTTGTATTAAGTTGCTTTCCCCACAGAGCACGCTTGCAACTGAGCACGAATGAGGGTTGTAGATAGTTTAGCACGGGAGCACGTGCTAAAAATAAAAATACGCGCGAAACGATCATACTCAGAATTTTGCATAGCCAGCAAAGCTCGCGATGCAATTATTAAGAAGTAAAATTTAACTTACCCGTTTTAAACGAGATCGACGAGTTCGGCCTACCCCTGTTGGTACAGGGGTAGCTTCCCCCGCAGGAAACACAGAGCTTTGGGGCAGCTGAAAAAGAGTTCGCGCCAATGGGATACGGGCAGACAGAAACCTCGCACCGAACTCGCTGCAATTGCAGCGAGTTTGGTGGTGGACTTTGGACTTTGGACTTTGGACTTCACGCGTCGCGAAGTCCAAAGCAGCAGCTTCGTTCCGGTGGAAGACTGCTACGGCAAGGTGCTTTGGCGGTGCTTGGTGAATTGGCGACTACAATAAAGTACTGAGATCCTGACAGGGTTTCTCCTGTGAACTTGAGTTGGCGCTGTCGTTCCAAAACTGTTCTTCCACAAGTGATGCACATCATGGCAAACCTCTGACGTTCAACTTCAACTGACGTTCAAACAACGCTTAGCGATGACCGACCACCGTGGGGCTTATTTTGTATTACTCTTTTGCGATAATCACGCCGACTATGATCGAAAAACCGACGAAAAGACGCGGGCCGTTGAATTCCCAAAATTGTACCTACGTGAGAGAGCATGAAACACGCAGAATTGGCTTAAACAAAACTTTCGAGCTCACAAAACGGCTGGACTGAGAAGCGGCATGCTGCAAAACCCAAAAACGTCACTCATATAACGATATCTCTAATAGATCGCCGTATTTTTTGGAAAAGAAGTGCGTGATTGAACACGGCCGATGAGGCTAACGAGAGAAGCCACGTCACGATTCTGATTCCCTCTCCTCCTCGCGTTGTTCCGTCGAGCTGGTGAACCGAAGCGAGGAGGAGAGAACCGAGGCCGCCTCCCTTCATTCTCAGCCGTTCCAGAACTTTGACGTCATAGCCCTCGCTTGATCGCGCCTTTCTTTTCCAAATATACGGCCGTCCGTTCGGGATATCGATGTATGAGTGATGTTTAGGAGATCGTAGCGTCCCGTTAGACGCTTTGCGGCCTTATCTGGCGAAATCCAAATTTCGGTTCGGTATTCCTTTAAAGGGATGCTGAACCGAAATCTGGATTCCACAAAACACGGCGGCAAAAGCGTGCAACGGGATGCTACAAACACACAAAACATCACTCATACATCAATATCCCAAACGGATGACCGTTGTTTTTTTTTTTTTTTTTTTTTTTTTTTTTTTTAAGGAGGCTTATTTGACAGATATGTTTACGTCTATACACGCTCGGAAACTGCTGGACCAACTTTCGCGCGTTCAACTTCAATAAACTTTCGCGTTTTCCTTTCATGTTGCGCCGTCTGTGAGTAGCGGCGTCAACCCGATAGTTTGTCATTGTTTACTTCAACTAGCGAAGAGCAGCGTTCAAGTAAAACTGAAACACTTCAAGAAAAACAAGGAGTTGGAGGTGAATTATGGTGCATTTTTGTCCCGTGAATCTAAATATCACGTTCGGTTTCTCCGAATATGTAACCAAACGCGAGAAAACGCGAAAAGCCTCTGACCAGTCGTGACGTCATACCATGATCTTTGGGCCGCCAAGCGCGTGTCGCTCGTGTGGGCAGCGCGTGCAATTGCAAGCTTGTCAGGTACATTTTTCCGCACTAACACCAGTCGTGACGTCTCTTTTTTACCTTTCTGAAAATAACAAAAGTGCGCGTGCGTAGCTTTGACAGGCCCTGAAGATGCGCGAGAGCAGAGATTCCGAAAACTCCTCGTATGACGTAACGCCCCGGGAAGGAGGGGCTTCGGCGATTATTCAAAAAATAATTTCTGCAGCCTCCGTGCAACAAACAGAAGAAAAAAATGAGAGGCGCTATCAAGTGGCTCCGGTGCACCGTCAGACTTGGCTACTGCGCAACGGAGGCGTACAGCTGGGCACACGGCGGCGCCAGTGCGTCTGCCGCGGCTATGACGTCATTCCTCTGGAATGCGCAGACTGTCGAGACGCGCGCGGCGGCGGCGGCTCCGGCGCGCCAGCTGTGCGCCGTGTGACGTCACTGCTCCTCGCGCATGCGCAGCACGGTTCTCCAGGAGCCACGCGAAACTGCTCAATCTCGGCCAGTGTCTCACGCTACAAAATGATATCGGTATTCGTGATCCTCTGGAGGCCGAATGAAGACCATTGAAGTGTTTGTTTTTTTCTCAAATACAAAACCACTTCAGTTTCCCTTTAGGGTTCCTCGATAAGAAGTGCACTTTCTGTTTCCTTACAAGTCATTCTTCGAAGCGCCGACAGCGTGACTGTGCTCGTTTTCGGAAAGCAGATGGCGGCTGGCAACAGAAGCAGAGTGAACTGAAAGACTCAATTTTGTTCCAGCGGATTGAGTTTTGTCATGCGTGTCGATTGTCGTATACTAGTGAAAGAAAGTACCGAAGGACTTTAACCAGAGTAGATTGGAGAGAAAGGCTGCGTCCGCGTTCGTTTCTGTGTTCATCTGTAGTCACAAGAGTCGCCATCTGAAGCCTGACGCGCAGCGCTCAGGTTCAATATGTGCCCAGCGCGTGCCTCCACTATAGCTGACGAAACGAATCCGGCACAGTGGACATGTTATCTACATACTTCGTTTCTCCCATTAGTCAAAACCGAACCGAGGCTTCAAGTTGACGGGCCAATGATGCAACATCAAAAGCGCAACGGCGTTCGCCATCTTTCACTGCTCGCGTCAACACCAGAAAAACCATAGCCTCCTTGACAAAGCCTGGCAGATCGCCACCAGACGCGGCCGCCGAAATTGAAATGGTAGGACGGCAGACAACGGATGAAAAAAAAGTTAGGTGACGGGCGCCCCGCTGCGGCGAGACGCCGAAACACGCTTCTCCCGAGCGATGGAATGTCCGATCGTGCTCCTCGTGTTCCTCGCGCTACCGCGTTTTTTCTCGTCGGGTTTGAAAACTATTTTTCGGGTCCTCGCCGCTGCAAAAGCTGTGCGCTGACGATGAGGTTCCCTTAGGTTCCCCAAGGAATGCTCTGTGCTACCAGATCCTCCCGCTCCAAATCTGCGAACAGGCACGCCATACGGCTCCGTCGTCGAACTGCCAGGCTTTGTGAGCAGAGGAGACTATGGCAAAACCAACCAAACAGAGCGCGTTAGCCGCTAACTTGACTTTTTAGACTGCGAGTCTGTGTTCGGGCTACTTCTAGTCCAGGGGTCTCCGAACCTCGGCCCGCGGGCCGAACCCGGCCCGCGGAGGTCGTCCGACCTGCACGTGGCTGGCCCCGGTCCTTCCGATGAAGCCCGCCTCACGGCCCGCTTCCAGCCGGCCCGCTGACGCCGGCGCGAAAATAGGCGTGTCAAGAAATGGCGCCACAACGTGCACCGAGCGCCTAAACAAAGACGAGCAGAAAACAAAACGAGAGAAAAATGGCTATCATAACGCGTGTCCTCTCGTCATGTTATTCGTCAAAGGGCACCTTCGTCGATATTTTTCAGTTTGAGATCACGACTGTTTTCAGCTACGAGGTATAATTTATCATAATTAGCTAAATATTGACTTTAAAAAGAAAGTATACGAATGCATCCGCCTTAAATGCTGCTCTTATTTATTTATGTTTATGCTTACTTTTATTTTTTGTGTTTAAAAGCTTATCTAGGAACATTTATTTATATATTTACTAATTTATTTTCCGATCATCGAGACAGCGACAGATCCCCGATCACACCCCCTTGCCAAAAACTTTGGAGACTTCTGTTCTAGCATATGGTTTTGCTCCGACTTGCAATGAAATAAAACACAGCGGGCGTTGCATTAACGAGATCGTCGATGCGTTGTCTGCCTCTCCATTTTTGTTTTGTTTTTGTTAAGCCCTCGGTGCAGCTGCACTCTCACTACAGGTACAAGCTACACCGATCTCGGTGCGTCATCCCGGTAAACCGCCACTGCCAGCAGTCAAGTTTGGGCAGGCAAAAAAACATGTCTTCCACAAACCCCAACTTCGATGATCTCGGCATCTTCCCTACACGTGATCCTCGCACCTTGGGTTGGCCACTCGTCGGCAGCAAGTCTTTCCTGGTAACGCTGCTAGTCAGCTACGTGTACCTAGTCACTGTCGGGGGACCACGCTTCATGAAGAAGCGGAAGCCCTATGAAAACCTCAAGCCGCTCATTCTACTCTACAATCTCTCCATGGTTTTCCTCAACGTGCATTTCTTCAAGGGCTTCTTGACCACGACGTACTTGGGCGGCGGCTACAACCTCGTCTGCCAGGGCATCGACTTCGAAGCAAGGAGCGAGGTAACGACGGAGTTCCTGGAGCTCGGCTGGTGGTACAACTGGGTGAGGATTGCTGATTTTCTGGACACCATCTTCTTCGTGCTCCGCAAAAAAGACTCCCACGTGTCCTTTCTCCACGTTGCCCACCACGTCATCGTCGCCTTTAACGGCTGGTTCGGCCTCGCCTACGGACCGGACGGACAAATCGTCCTAGGAGTTTTAATCAACACAATCGTCCACGTCGTCATGTACTCCTACTACTTTCTGTCTCTTCTGGGTCCCCGTGTCCGGCCGTACCTCTGGTGGAAACGCTACTTGACTCAGCTCCAACTGGTTCAGTTTGTTGTCACGCTGGTGCACATGTCGATTCCGCTCTTCAAGGACTGCGGGTACCCGAGACCTCACATGGTGATCATAATGTGCGAAGAAATATTTTTCTTCGTTACGTTCATGCGTTTCTACGTGAAGGCGTACACCAGCAAGCGTGCTTCTTCTTACGCCAGCGACTCGAAAAGCAAGGTGCAATGATTCATGCTGGCTTTATTTTACCTCGGACTTGGACACTGGGTTTTCAATAAATCATATGTTAAAATGTAAAAAAAAAAATCGTCATAGAGTATGCGTCGTTAAATACTGTTCATGATAAGTAATCTTACACTTTTCACAATTTGTAGAGCTGCCAACCAACGAATGGCGAAAGAAACATACACTCACGATAACTAAAATGACAGATAAAAATAAGGAAAACAATCTAACGAGTATCAAACAAAAATTGAATTATTGACAGAGTCTGCACGATTAGCTTTGTAGTTTTTTTTTTCTTGTTATGGTGGTGTACTACATAATTATTTTATGTTTTATTCAGTAGATAACTTGCGCAATGGCCGCTTCAGCGCAATGTATTTAACAATCACCGAACGACGTATTCATAAAGAGATGGGCGTAAGGGTACTTCATCTGTGCTCACTTTTAGCTGGTTTAAATGCTCCTCACACGCTGATGTTTCATTTTCAAAACATTGATAAAATAGAAAAATAAAAAGATATATAGAAGCTCGGCTTACCGCGTGCTTCGCATCAGCTTCCAACATAATACTTGGTGGGAGCACTAAACCAGATGGTGACATAGGCACTTTTGTGAGCCATCTGCTATTGGAAAACTGAGGAGTGGGCAAGGTGCCCCCAGCGTGCAAATGACACACTGAAAAGCCCAGTGGAGAAACGCATATGGCAAGCGTTTTCAAGGCAGGCATTTAGTGCTGACGGGCGAGTATTTTCGCGAGTGTAAGAAGACGACTCACTTCATAAATGAGTGACGATCTATACTTGTCGTCACATCAAGAAGAATAAAAAGATTTGCGCATTATACATGCGCTGCACGAAATGGTTCTTACACGATTTGGTTGTCGGAGCAATAAACTAGGCTTTTGGCGTTTAAAACATGTAAATCTCGATAAAATAAACAACAATCAAATCTAAAATTCACCCGCATATACCTTAATTTGTAAGACGACATAGTAAATCAATTACATCCCGCCAAAAACCGGCCTTTTTTTATCCCGGTTCTTAAGGTGAATGCGAGTGGCGAATACCAGTATAGGGCTGTACATCTTTCCATCGCTTATCACCAAGACGAAAATTGCTGAGTCACCTGGCTTGGGACGCTGGCAGGATTAGAACGGCGTGGAGGTCCTACATTGGCCTCCCTTCCAGCGCAAGCTCTCTTTCTTCGATAACAAATTCGGCGTCTCGTGAGAATCAAGAGTACACGCGCCGCAACAAAAGCATGACGGAAGGCGACGAGCGCGTGCTGGAGGTCGTGCATCGGAAAGGGTCGTCCCCCGCCGTTCACGCCCAATCAGCAACTACAGGAACCAAAAATATTTTTTTTTTAAACGAGAAGATTTTTCTCACAAGACATCGGCATCGGTAGGCGCAAAGAAATCGAATCAAACGTACGCTATTCGCAAGAGCGAAGAAAGACCATTTATAATTGCAGCGATCAAAACTACTGATAGGGAACATTGAGGAGAACCGGACAAGTTTTATCCTCTGACCCCAGAGTATAAAATTAGCGGCTAATACTTCAATCGAAGGACCGCGGTGAAGTTTCTTCGAACAAACAGTGATCACTAGCCCACTTAAACAAAGCACGAACGGTATTCACAGGCAGTCTCTCTAGAGTCTAGACCACAATCGCTGTACAGTTCACAACCCCCCCCCCCCTTTCCAGTTTAATGGGGAGCACAAGTTTGTCTGCTTCTTGCACAAGGGTTGCGGTGATGTCAGAACGCCGAGCTCTTATTGGCTGATTCAAGAGCCAATCAGAGCTCGGCGTCGTTATGACGTCACCGCAACCCCTGAGCAAGAAGCAGACGACTTGCTCTCCGCATTAAGATTGCACTGCCTTCATGCAATATGGGCCGTAAGATAATTACGTTTAATTGCATACTGTAAAACAAGAGGTACGAATAAACCACATGTTCCAGCTGTGGACACAGACGCGTACCTAGCCGATCCCACCTAGAACAAAGACAAAGCGTTTGCATGACGTCATCACTTATGAATCTTCGACCCGCCCCCAAGCGGGAACAAACGGGCTGAAACTTGAGCAGACGCGTTTGTCTCGGCGTCGCCGTGTGCCAGCGTCGTGTTCGATGTGAGGCGCTGCACGACGCGTTGGCGGCGACGCTGACGCGAGCTAGGCGACGCTCGCGGATCCACTATAGCTAATGACGTCTGTGGGGAAAGGTGTTTGTTTTCTATACGTGATATGCGGAGAGCCAGTTCGTCTGCTTCTTTAGCAGGGGTTGTGGTGACGTCAGAACGACACCGAGCTATGATTGGTTCTAATAGAAGGATAGAGGGTATAGACCTGAAGGCGGCTTGCTTCGAGGTCTACCCGCCATCCTTCGATCAAAGCCAATCAGAGCTCAGCGTTCTGACGTCACCACAACCCCTGCAAAAGAAGCGGGCGAACTTGGACTTCGGATTGACTTGGCTCATAAATGCAGGCCACTATAGTCTCTATTGACATGTTTTCGAACGCAAGGAACAAAAGTTACGTATCCCGGCGTTGCCACGCGTGACACCTGCCATGAGCGGTCCCTTCAGCGCCAAAAAATCGCTACTTTTTTTTTTGAGAAAGCCAATAATGTTGTGGTATGAGACAACTGAATAGTCGGGTAGAGGCTTAGTTGATTACACTGATAGGCGCGCTGTCTGATCTGAAAGTAAATTAATCCGTTTAACGTGCGACAGCGAGTCAAAGCGACATGAAGCAACGCACCTGCTTCGTTCCTCAGCGTTGGACGCTCACTCTATGCCACAGCAATGAAGTATTTGATGACTCACAACACTTACGTTGCAAGCTTGCCTGTAGTCACGCGCTCGATTCACGCGGACTTGTACGTAAGGAGTTACAAGTAAGTGATTACTTGTAATTCATTACATTTCGTTGTAAATTTTGAACGCGTTAATTACTTTTTTTCTACGGTAGCTTTCTCTGTAATTCAATCACTATTTTCTGTAATCAATTATATGTTTCTAAAAGTGCTAAAATTATTGAGTTTAGTTTTTTTTTACGCCAAAAATCGCTCTGTCTGCCAGCGCGCCACTCGTCTATGTTGCACCGAGGTTGGACACTTTCTTTGACCCCTAAACGACTAAAAACATATTCCAAGGTACCAGAAGGATTAGAATGTTAACAGGCTCAGCAACGTTTTTTGACTGTCGGGGTATATAGGGTGTATTCACTAGACGCCATGTTTGTGGGTGCTGTCTAGGGCGCGTGCTCAGAACGAGCTCACATCAACAAGCCGCTAAGACCGGCACTTTTGATGGTGCGGAATGCACGTTGGAAAAGAACTGTGGAAGCTCGCCATCAGCACACGCTCAGCATTCGCGCACACAGCTATGGCCGCCAGTGAATACTCCCTAAAGAGTGCGTCGTTTCCCGTGTACGGGTCGTTACGATCTTGGTTTGCCGCGGCATACGCGACTGTGTTTTGCACCAAACTTATCTAGACACGGAAGCGTCCGTCGAGGCACCGCGCATCCCCGAACTGGTACGCAAAGTGTTGTGCGCTACAACGCCGCTCTTCCCTCAAGCGCATCCGTCGAGAGGGTCCTTCAGCGTCGCGGCAGATATCTTCACCAGGAAACGTTGGAAGATGACTGACCAGAACGTCTAACGAGAACTACTGTCGAAGCTGAACAAAGTGTCAGTGACAAAAATAATCAAAATGTAACCACTATGAACATAAGTATCCATTTTTTTATTTCGTTATAAAAAGTTTGCAAAAGTAACGTGAAAAGTAATCAATTAGTTTCTGGTAACTTTTCAATTGCTTTCGTGATGCAGTAATTGATTACTGTAATCAGTTCCATTTTTCGATAAAGAAACTGTAATTGTAATCGGTTTCTTTTTTCTGCATGTAACACGTACAAGACTAGATTCACGGCACTAAAGGGGTAAGGCTTACTACCCAGCGAGAGATTAGCCAAGTGAAGAAATAATATTCACGTAACAATAAACTGACTTGTGCCTGAAATAGAGGGCAACTGAGCCCTCTTAGGTCTGGTGACGAGGCGGATTTCTTCCTGCTACTGAAAAAATCCGCCTGGTCCGGGTTATGATGAAGACTAGTAGCAACTAATAATATTCGTTTGCTGTACTGACTGTCAGCTCCTGGTTAGCTCAGTTGGCTTTTCTGGTATTGAAGATGTTCGGGGGTCCAGTCCCGAAGCAAGCGGATTTTTTCAGTGGCCATCAGTCGCCTAGAGGGTCGAGTTCCGTTTCAGGGAAAAGGCAATTCTCGGGTAAAAATCCTCTCCACCTTGGGTACTTTTCCGAAAACTCATTATATCGAGGAAAGAGTGACAACATATTGTTTAGGCTGATTTGCCACTCATTTGCGGCACTGTATTTTTTCTTTTAGCCTGAACTCCTTGAAGTTAATATCTTCATGCATTTTGTACGAGGAGTATACTTTTAACGCAGCTCAAATAAAGCAAAAAAAAAAAAAAAATAGGATGCGTCCAGTCTACCCCAGTTATCGTCGGGCCTGATTCGAGCTGAACCACTATGGTACACTGTAACCTCTCACGTCGTCAGACAGGGTTGTAGGCCTAACCTAGAAAAAGTAATGGTATACGTTATTCGTTACTTTAAAAATAAAGCAACCCGTTAACAACCTACTTTGCCTCAAAATAAAAAGAACGCGTTTTCGTTACCGTTACTGATAAAAATAAACAAACGTTAGTTTTGCGTTACTTTTTACCTATAAATTGACGGTAACAGTGCGTTGTTCTTGTTTTTTGGCGGCCGCGTTTTTGGACATTGGGATAAAGAACCTCGGCTTTAGAGTCTATCTAAAGTGGTACTTTTTTCCGTGGGAAAAAGAGCCACAATTTAGAAGGTATATGTAAAATGAGCGCGAGAAATAAAGACTTGGCGCCTATAGACGCTTTCAGACAACTCTGCATGGGCGCCGCCATAACCGACCTTCAGTTTTTGTTCGCTCTTATTGCGTTCGCTCCACTTCATCAATACCACAGCAGGACAGGTTATTGCCGTTTTAAGTGTTACTGCGTCGTTCTCCCCAG